CTGCCTCCCAAGTGCTGGGATTAAAGGCGTTTGCCCCCTTGCCGGGCCTTTTTTTTTTTTTTTTTTTTGATCTAATGCCAATCTTTTAAAAAATATTTTATTTCTATTTTATGTGTACGGGTGTATCTCTAGCATGTTATGTAAACGTACTCGTGTTGTGCAATGTCTGTGGAGGTCAGAAAGTGTTGAATCCCCTGGGGCTGGAGTTACAGATGGTTGTTTGCCACCATGTGGGTGCTGGGAACCTAGGTCCTCTGCAAGAGCTGCCAGTGCTCTTAACCATTTAGCCATCTCTCCAGCCCTCAACAGCGCTAATCGCTCTTTTTTTGTAAAGTCAAAATTACCCAATATTGACAAAACAAAAAGAACAACACCTCGAAGCAGATAGAATTCATTTTCTGACTTAAGAAACTTCCAGGGTTGGACTGGGGATGTTGCTCAGTTGGTAGAGCACTTGCCTAGTACACACCAAGCCCTGGGGGTTCAATCTCCACATAACCCAGGAGTGGTAGTAATTCCATGTAATCCCAGCATGCAAGATGTGGAAGTGGGAGGATCAGAAATTCAAGGTCACCCTGAGCTACACAGCAAGTTTGAGGATAGCCTGGGATATACAATAAGACATAAAGAAACAACAAAACCCCCCTGAAACAAAAACCTTTCAGAGTTTGGGATACAGCTCAGTGGTAAAGTACCTGCCAAGCATTGCCTTGTGAAGAAAAACAAAACAAAATAGAAATTTCCATAGCTGATCCTTTTTCCTTTTCAGAGTTTTTAATATTTCTTTTCCTTAACAGAATATGGTTAACTCTTTAAAATCTCTCTTGGGGCTGGAGAGATGGACGGTTCAGTGGTTAAGAACACTGGCTGTTCTTACAGAAAACCAGGGTTTGAATCCCAGGACCCACATTGCAGCTAACAGCTGTCCCTAACTCCAGTTCCAGGGGATCCAACACCATCTTCTGACCTCCGCAGGCATTGCACAACACGGGTGCACTTACATACCTGCAGGCAATGCATGCATACACATGAAATAAAAATTTTTTAAAAAATCTTTCACATACAATACTAAAACCCCTTAGTGAATGGGCTAAAAAAACTACTTGAAAGGTAGAAAATAAATTTCATTTTTATACTTACCTGAAAGTTATATTTTATTAAGGATGATACAGTTCAATTTTATTTTTTTTCTCAGCAGTCAACAACAATCAAGAGCTTTTCTGCCTTTATGATCACGGAATAGTCTCCACAAAGCAACTTTAAAACCAGTCACTAAGCATAAATATATTCAGATCCAGTGTGACAATTCAGGAATAAGAAAATTGGAAAATAATAAACTGCTCAACTTGACAACTCCTGAAGAGGAAGAAACAAACTAGTATTTCTCAAATGCCTGGATATAATTTTTAGCTCACTATCACTCTAATATGAAGTAATGGGATTAAAAATTACTGTGGTTGTCCCATTAACAGTAGCTGAATTCCTAATTTTATAGTTTTTCTTTTAAATGTTCCAGGGCTGGTTAAGAGCACTAGCTGCTCTTGCAGAGGACCCAGGTTCGATTCCCAGCACCCACATGGCAGCTAACTGTCCATAACTCCAGTTCCAGTGGAATCGGGTGCCCTCTTCTGACCTCCACAAGGATTACATGACATGGGTGCACTTACATACATGCAGGCAATATATTCATACACATAAAACATTAAAATTTAAAAAATAATAGCAGTAGTAGTCTGAAAAAAATTCCTGTTCGAACCTCTCATCGTCTTCTACATTAAGATCTGTGGAACATTCCACTTAGTTGGTAGCTGCCAAAGAAAATATAGTGATGGGGGTATGTATGTAAGATAACTGGAAATATTTCCAGAAAGACAGTAGATATGTTCAATGACATTCCTATTTATGTCAGCCAGGCAAATGGTGTAGATACATTAAGAAGCTCCACCAACACACCCTTTAATCCCAGCACTTGGGAGCAGAGGCAGGCGATCTGTGTCAGATCGAGGTCAGCCTGGTCTATATAGTGAGTCCCTGGCCAGCTGGGGCTACAGGGAGACCCTGTCTCAAAAAGACAAAAAAAAAAAAAAAAAAAAAAAAAAAAAAAAAAGAAAAGAAAAGAACTCTGGTGAGAGACAAAGGAGTGTTTTTTTTCAGTGAATGCTGACCTTCTTAGATCTCTCTCAACCTCTCTCCCCCTTCCCTCACACCCTATCACTCAGCACACCTGCAGCTATAGCAGGGCCTTAAGTTTTTCCTCAAGTGGTCCTGCACTGCTACCAGCAGTAATATCCTCCTCCCATTTTTTGTGCTTTAAGAAAAATTACCAAGGCTGGAGAGATGGCTCAGTGGTTAAGGGTACATACTGCTCTTCCAGAGGATACAAATTCAATTCTCGGCAACCACTTGAGGAGGCTCACAAACTGCAGCGACAGGGAATCTGATGCCTCTGGCTTCTGCTGGAACCTCCACTTAGGCGTACATACCCATAGACACACACATATACACATAATCAAAAATAAATATGTCTTTTAAAAGGAAAAAAATTACCAATCCTTTCGTCCAACAACACACAAAATGCGCTTTCAAATCATTTTATCTTTAATAACCTGGCAGTAATTCAAAATGCGAAGGGAAAAATGTCAAATTTGTTTTTGCTCCCTTTACAGGCGATGCCCCGCTACTGACTCAATCGTGGTCAAAAGCAACGACGAGATTGGATTCCAAAGAGCCTGGGGTGGTTAAGAAAGTTTCATGGCTTGCAGTCTGATGCCTTTGGTTACCGTCAAGCACAGAACGGGGAGGACCGACGGCAGGAAGACATTAACGAGCCTTCAAAGGACAGGACGCGGTTGCTGGGTCATGAGCACCTTGAAGCGTTTCTTGATTGTGATTCGGTGTCTCGAGTATTTGTCATCTGGGGAGAACCGAGCAGGGTGGGCTGAGCAAGTCTGCTGTCCCAGAGGATCAAACTTCTGATCGAGAAAGAAAATGACCTCAGTACATGAGTAGTGAGAGGAAGAGGACAACACGAAAACGGGAAAACGTGAAGCCTGGAGCCACAGAGATCAGATCGAGGGGCTGTGCGATGCTGTGCGGTGCGCACCTGAGTTCTCCCTGGCTGCGTACAGACCTGGCTCCCCGCACCCCGCAGCGCAAGCTTGTGTCGGGCTCCCAGCGCTCTTCCCACTACGCTTCCCATACCCAAAGACCACCTGCTTCCTTTCTTTACCTTCAGCGTATAGACTCGATCGCCCTGCTCGTTAAGATAAAACTGGAGAAACATGATCACGCTTCAGCCACAAAACCACGCCCGTCCGCAGCCAGCCGCGTTTGCCCGCCTCAAGCGTGTTCAACAACATCCTTCCTGTATAACCGGAAGTGCGTTTAGGCATACCGGGAAATGTAGTCTATACCCACCCCCACATAGTCATGTGACCCGAAGGGGGCGCGGTAAAGCAGGACTTGGCCTGGGCTCTAGCTGCAACCTTGTAGGGTTGTAAGGTCCATGGAGCTGCCCACTATGTGCCATGTACTGCCAGACGTTAGGAGGTACTGATGGATGTAGGTTGAATATTGATGCATACAGTCCAATCTTTAATCTCAAGTTGCATACCCATTTTAGAGGCAATGATTTTTTAGTTCCCAGACAAACAAGAGTTCCGGGATTTGTAACCTCCTTTATCCTAGGGAAGAAAAAAGATTTTCTTCTGACCCCCATTTTTACATCCGTTTTCCCTGACCCATTTCAAAATATTGGCGGTAAAGAGTGCATGATGGGTATTCGATGTTATGCAAAGCGAAGATAACGTAAAGTACTTTTATGGACCTGGTGAAGTGTGTTTAGATGTCGAATCAAGATTCAAACTCAAGACTATCACAAATTCAGCTCTTTTTTATAGTGGTGAGTAACGAATAATAGCGCAATAAGATGCCTCTTCTAGGAGTCTTTCCCGGTTAAAAAAACCGTTTTGTTGTTGTTTTGAGATGGGGTCTCCCTGTTGCCCCAGCTGGCCTGGAACTCGCTAAACCGAGCAAGACAGGCTTGATCTCAGAGAGATCCGTCTGCCTCTGCTTCCCTTATGCTAGGATTAAAGGTGAGCACCACTATGCCTGGCTATCTCGTTTTTAAAAGAACACAAAGATTTACAGGAGTCTAATTTAAAGATATAAAATATGGCGGGGTGTGATGGCCGTGGCTTTACTCTCAGCCCTTAGGAGGCAGAGGTAGGAGGATTTCTATGAGATCTAGGCCAGCCTGGTCCACATAGTAACTTCCAGGAGAGCTGTGACTAGGGAGACCCAGTCAACCTCCTGCTCCCAGCTCAAAAACAAAAAAGCAAAAGAAATAAGACTGGCTGTGGTGGCTTACGCCTTCACTCGGGAGGCTTCACTCGAAGCCAGCCTGGTCTATGTAGTTTCAGGTCAGCTGTGGCTACAGGGAGACCATGCCTCAAAAAGAACAACAAAAAAAGGAAAAGAAAAAAACCAAACAAACAAACAAAAAAAGGGAACGATGATATTGTCGCGAATGATCATCGCAGCATTATTTATAGTGGCAAAAATATTGTAAAGTGACTTTTTGAGACAGGGTCTCCCTGTAGCCACTGTTGGCCTGGAACTTGTTATGGGCTTGCTATGAACAGGCTGGCCTCAAACTCACAGAGATCCACCCGCCTCTGCCTCCGTGTGTGCGGGGAATTAAATGCGCGGGCCACCAAACCCAGCTTCAGATATTAATTTTGTAAGCAGAGAACCCTGAAAGTCTTTTATTCTTTTTTTTTAAGTAACGTGGTTTATGTTTACTTGCCATGGAGGCTGAGGCGGAAGGATCACTTGTATCCAAGTGGTTCAAGGCCAGCGGTCTGAGCTGGCAGCAGCCTGAGGCGGGAAACCTTGTTTTAAACTTAAAAACAAAGAAACGGCGGCGCGCAAGGACTGACGGGACACAGATACTCCGGTTTCCTCTGGCGCAGAGAACTTGGTTGTAGGGAAAATGAACAGGAGTGCGTGGTGATGAACATTCTAGTTTGCAGTCTAGCTTTAAAAAAAATCCTTGGCAGTTTAACACATGTACATAATGAATTTTAGTCGTTTTAATCCCCATTCCCCTCTCTCTACCCCCAAACCCTTTCTTAGTTTGACTTTGGAACCCTACTAATGCATTACATATTTAAAAATTTTTTTTAAATTAACAAAGAAGAAATTTTATGGTAATTTTAAACCAGAGGTTATGACTCAGGATTGAATCTCGGCACTCAAGAAGCAAAGGCAGAAGGATTTTAAGTTTGAGTTTAGGCTACATAGCCAGACTGTCTTTAAAAATTAAAAAGGGGCTAGAGAGATGACTCAGCAGTTAAGAGCTCTTGCTGCTGTTGCAGAGGACCCAGGTTCTGCTCTCAACACTCACATGGAGGCTCACAACTGGCTGTAACTCTAGTTCTAAAGGTACTGATGCCCTCTTCTGGACTCTGAGGGCTCTAGGCACTCTCCAAGCAAACATGCACACAAAATACAAATCTTTTCAAAAAATACTAAAGATATATTTATATCATAGCTAGGCCTTTAATCCCTCTACTTGGGAGGCAGAGACAGTTGGATATCAGAGTTCAAGGCCAATCTGATCTACATAGTGAGTTCCAGACCAGCCAGGGCTTCATAGTGAGACCCTATCTCAAAAAAACATTTTAAAAAAAAATTTAGTGAGGTTTTTTTTCTTTTTCTTTTTTGTCCCCCCCCCCCCCCAATAGAGGGGTAAGGCTGTGGTTTCTGTGGATTGTGGAGTTTATGGTTGGGGATGGCAGGGCAACTTTCACTTTTTCCAGATGCAATCCCAGTACATAGCCCAGGCTTTCCTCAAGCTTCCTTTCCTCAACCAACCTTCTGCCTCAGCCTCCTGAGTGCTGGGATTACTTGTGTGCACTGCCAGGGCAGCTTTTCAAGGAAGAAATGTTTACACAGCAATTGAACACGTTGGATCTTCTGAGATACTTCAAATGCCAAACATTTAGTTTTCTTGATCCTCAAGTACAGACTCTGTGCTCTGAATTTGATTCAGAAAATAGTCATCATTAAATTAAGCCAAGGGTCTACCACCAATCTGCTATTGATAGCAAACCAGTTACAGAACTGGTGGGGAACTAAAGGGCACAACATTAGATACTGAAGAACTGAAGAAGAAAGAACTAGAGAGGTAAAACTACAGTATAATGTTTGGAATAAAAAAGATGTATCCATTGCCCTAATGAGATACCCAGCATTAGTATTTCCAAATTAATTCATAGAGAAATCACAGTTTTCACCTACTTACTAGAATCACTGTGCAATAGTGCCCCATTCTCACCACACAATACCCTCTCCCCTCCCCCACTACATAATGCCCGAGTTCCAGATTCCAATTCTGTTTTGGCCCAGTCTTTACCCTGCCTTCCTTGGATATCATCTGTTTGAGCCAGTTACTGCCTGGATCCTGTACCCAACTGTTTCATTCTGGAGGCTTCCAAGACAGTCGCAACTGGTGAGCCCAAACCTCAGATGATGGCATCAGATGGAGGTAAGTCTGGGGGTAGGGAAGAGGGTAACCTGTTCACCTCCTTGGGGATTCAAATTTGCCACTTTACTTGAGAACAAGCTATTTGGGCTCATTTAGAGGGATGTGAGATATCAGACCCCAACACAGGCATTAGGGAGGCTGGGAAAGGAAATTTTTTTTTTTTTTTTTTCCATTAAGACCCCGGGGTAGGGAAAGAGGGCTCCTTGGAGACAGACCAAAACACCTCAGAAGTTGCACATTGAATATAGGGAATGGATGGCAGTTAGTAACTTGATTCCAAGGAGGAGGGACACATTAACATGATTGCGGGGAGGGCAGAGGTTTCTATAGAGTAGGAGTGGTGTAATTAGGTTCCAGGGGAAGACTTGAGATCTGTGTCTTCTGGCAACTAGAGCCTGACTTTGCCATGAGAGACTAGAACTGAACCTCTTTTAAAAAATATTTATTTGGGGGCTGGAGAAGTGGCTCAGTGGTTGAGAGCACTGGCTGCTCTTGCAGAAGACCTGGGTTTGAATCCCAGCACCCACATGCTGGCTAACAACTGTCCATAACTCCAGTTCCAGGGGATCTGACTCCCCTTTTGTCCTCCACAGGCATTGCACGACATGGGTGCACTTACATATACTTATGTGTATGCATGCAGGCAGTACATGCATACACATAAAATAAAAATAATAAATGAAATATTTTAAAAGTATTTTATTTCTATCTGTGTGTATGGGTGTCTGTGTGAATGTATGCCACTTGAGTGAGGGTGCCCTTAGAGGCCAGAATAGGACATTGAATCCCCTGTAGCTGGAATTGCAGGTGTTTGTGAGCCAGATGATGTGGGTTTCTGGGAGCTGAACTGGGATCTTCTGCAAGAGCAGTGAGTGCTTTTAACCACTAAGCCATTACTTCAACCCAAGTTGAACTTCTTTTGAGCTTATAGGGAAAGTAGACCTAGGGGTAGGGAAGTAAGATTGGGCTAGGGAGACAGCCTTACTATTCTGTGGGGTTATTCATTTAAGAGACACATCTGCCTGGGAATGAGGCTGGAAATATAAAACTTCCTGTGCCTAGAGTCTAATGGCTCCTTCTAGCTGCAGAAGTGGCTTATTTTCAGTTCAGGGAGCAGGCTTTTTTTTCTTTTTCCCTTCTTTCATAGACACTTATTACACATATATCTGGAAGTTGAGAATTCCAAGATTAAGATTGCATCTAATTAGCGTTCTGGGGAGGGTACCTCCCTTACCTTGTAGATGTCTGTGTGTTTGTATGTGTGTACAACTTTTGTGCTACTGGTATTGAATCCATGGCCTTGTACAAGCTAGGCAAGTGCTCTACTTCTGAGCTCAATCTTCAGTCCTCCGTTTACTTCTGGTTTTGAGACAAGGTCTCACTAAGTTGCTGAGGCTGCATTTGAACTTTCTCTGTAGCCCAAGCTGGCTTTGAACTTGTGATTTTCCTACCTCATTTTCTAGAGTGGTTACAATGACAAGCCTACACACATTTTTTTTAATTAATTAAAATTTTTAGTTAGGGGAAGTCTTTATTTTCAGGCAAAAGGATGGAGGGTCATTGTAGTTGCAATGAGAGTGAGGGCTTCCTTGAGAATATTTTCAGGTTTTCCACTTGTTTTGGAACTCAGACCTAGAAACATTTCATTGTGTTCAGTACTTGCTGATATAACCTGGCCCTTCACTGTATGGTTCAAATATGAATTTGTTCCTATACTGTGTCTCCTTCATGGTCATAAAGTGGAAGTTGAGTGTTGGTTTGTTGGTAGAATTTTTTTTTTAAAGGGAAAAGGAGAATCGCATGAAATTGTGTTCTCTTTTTATTATTAAAAGTCATGTGATATATAGGTCCTGTTTAGTGAAGTACACATTTGTGTGCCTACTCCTGGTCTGCTTGACCAGTGTCCACATAGCTCCTCCTCAGCAGGAGCTATGTTCCAGACTTCATTCTTTCCTTAGCACTAGCTCAATGCTTTGTTTTTTTGTGAGCCTTAAATTTCCAATATTAGGACCTCCAAAGCAGAGAGACCACAGATAGTCTACTAAATTTTGACTGATCCTGTAATTACTTAAAGTTCTGGAAATCTTTCTCCCTCCACTGCCCTCCACTTACCGAGTCCTGGTCCTTATCTAATCCTCATCAACTATTCTTGGCTGCTATATAACAAAATCTCTGGGAAGCACACATCCAAATTACCATACCCTATCCTGGTCACTGTGCCTCTGTGAATGATGGCAGGAGCCACAGAGCAGCTGGGAGCAGGTGGCTTGACTCTCTTGTGGAGTGGGTGAGGCTAATAGATTTCTACTATATCAGATGGGATGTATTTTGGAGAAATGAGCTTCATGGGTCCTAGAGTTATTGCTCATATTCATAAGTTACGTATTTTGTTGTTTTAGATGAGGAAAGAGAAAAGATTATAGGGGCAAGAGGAATAGGAAAAGGAGAGGAAGGACTGATGTTTTGGAAACTACCTCCTCCTAAGAGCCCTGTGGGTGGTTTTAGAGAGCTAGAACTTTCCCTGTATTAGTTACCTTGCTGTTCTTAGCCCGCTTGCAGACTATTTTTCCTGCAGAACAGGTGTAAATCCCATTCCACATCTTCATAAATAGCCTATGGAGCTGGCAGGGGAAGTCTATCAGCAGTGCTCTCAGAGAAGCTTTTAGAGGTGGTGATGGCTTGAACTTGTCTCTTCTTAGAAGATAGGGGTTCTGTGTGTCTCTTAAAAAGGGAGCAACTTTTCTAGTGCAGTAACTCGACAGAGTAAAGGATGACTTGGGAGACATTTACAAATACACAAGTTCCCTATCCATATCTCCTTCATGTGTTGGGAGTCAGTTTCCATAGAGACCAAAGGGAAAGTCAGATGGCCTAACTTCTAGTTGCCTTCCTACACCCTTCTCTTTGTCTCAACAGCATCTCCATTGCCGGGACCTGATGTGGCAGTGAAACCTGGTGCTGGCCTACCTCCTTTCACTACGCTTCCTTTTGCCCCACCTGCTCCTGCTCCACCTTACCAACCCCTCTGGGAACCATCTCCACAGCCCCCCATACCTCCAGCATTCTCTCCAGGCAACCCTCTGATGCTCTCTGCTTTCCCTAGCCCACTACAGATGACAGGAGATGGGGACTCTGGCCCCAATGTGGCTGGGGCTGGCCAGGTCATTGTGAAAATCAAGACAGAAGGGGGGCCAGCCGAGGCCTCTCAGGCTCAGAACTTTATCCATACTCAAAAGGCCCTAAATTGGATTGCCTCAGGTACTCTCTATGGGGTCCCAGAGGGGCCTCCTCCTCCTCTGTATGTGACAGGTTCTAATGTGAAGACCATTCTGCCCACTGTGGCTGTTGGAGTGAGTCCAGAGGCCTCTGCAGGACTTCCTCTGCAGACGCTACCATTAGCTGCCCAACTGGCTCCCACAGCATCCCTGGAAAAGGCTTGGCCAGGAACACAAGCAGCAATGGGGGAAGGAGGTACTGCGGCTTCCCTGAAGCCCTCCCAAGGTGGCCTTGCCTATGCCTCCACGGGTGTTTATGAGAACTATCGTCGCTGGCAGCGCTACAAAGCTTTGGCTCGGACGCACCTATCCCAAAGTCCTGATGCAGAAGCACTTTCCTGCTTTCTTATGTAAGTTGGGAGATCCAAGATTAGTTTTCTTGAGGCTTTTAGAGAGGACTTTGGGATTGGGGGGTGTTAGGTTACTTCAGAACTTGAAGGCCTGCTATGAGAGTGAGAAGATGCTATGAGAAGGAAACAGAAATAACTTCTGGGCTTACAATAAGCTTTCAGGTGCTGCCTTTCAAAGAATGCTAGCAGTCCTGTGAAGTTAGGCAAGCATTTTATGGTAATCCTTATTTACAGATGAGAAGACTGAGAACTTTCTGTCATAAAGCAGGGAGCAGAGATTGGAACCTAAGTCTCTGACCCCAACTTTCATGGCCCTCCTGATCTGTTTCACTGCCTTCCTGCCCTCTAGCATTGAGCTGGGATGAGGCAACCTGAGTCCTGACTCATTCCTGTGGTGGGGGTGAAGGAGTGGCCCTGGGTTAGGCTAAAAACTTTGTGTGTGTGAATCCCATTTTACTCAGGAGTCAAGGTGAAATGGGGAAGGTGAGCTCTACCACACATGGTATTTGTGGTCCTGGGTAGGATATTTGCCCTCAGTTTCCTATCTGAAAAGGAGTAATTATACCTACCTCTGAGGGTTGCTGAGAAGATTAAAGGTGCTTGGCAAAGTGCCTGACATAGAGAATGCATCATTTAAATGGTAGCTTTTATTATTACTATAAAAAGGCAATCATAAAGAGCACACAAAAGGCCAAATGCCCCTCCTTTAGAATGAGTGTGTTTAGCCAAGGAGCCTGAAGTTTTGTTTATATAGCAGTCATGAGTCATCTGGGAAATTTTCTCTACTTCCCAACCAGACTGGCTATCTCTCAATTGTACTGCCCCTTAATATTTTATGCAGACCTTTGAATAACGTTCCATCTTATTGAACTTTGGAAAAGATGTGCATGCTCCCTTCCAATGACAGAGCTCCTAAAGCAATCTCCATCTTCTGGACTTTAGAGCAAGTGAATCAAGAGACTCCCCTGAAATCCTAGATAAACACCATCCTACTGAGTTCCTACTTTCTCAAGAAAACTCTGAGTTCTCTTTGAGAGGCTAGTGGCTCAATTTCTAAATCTAGAACGAGTATGTGCTCTCAGAGTTTGCTCAGGTTCCATTTGCTTTGATTCTTGGCCAACCCCTGTTCTCCAAGCTCAAGTGCTCTAGGCAGTGTCTCTTACCAGGGACAATCCAGACCCTCCTCAACACTCAGAAGCTCTGTCTTAGGATCCTGGAGTTCTGCAATCCATGTTTACAACAAACTTCCCTAGGTGGTTCTGATGCACAATTGATGTTTGAGGACTCAAAGGGAAGCCAGAGAGGCAAAAATGAAGCCCTTACCTTTCTTAGACTAGGCTCTTAATTTCCTCTGGACCCTTCTAGAAATGATGGTCTAATATTGTATTTGAGGGTCTCTAAGCCCACCGTGTCTGGAGACAAAGACGGAAAATCCAATTTTTTAAAAAAGTCAAAAAAACACTAAACTTTATTTGGAGATTCACTTGGATTAGTGAATGTCTTTGAAAAATGCAAGAGGCTCCTGTTTTCAGTTCCTGTCATTCCTTTGCAAACCTGAGTGTTTCCTTCTTAATGTTTAGTTGAGGATATATTTTGGGAATTAACTGTGGTTACCCTAGTTGACTTCAAAAAGTGGGCAGAAGAATCATTTGACTTAGTGTAATGTGTACATCTCCACGGGAAGGGCAGGAAGAATGGTAAAAGACTGGAGGGAATCCTGGGAAGCCTGAAAGTCTCATCAGAAGGACATGACAGAGTCTGAGGGGCATGCTATAATTGGTGAGGGACAAGGGATGTGGGCTGAGGTGGGCATCAGGTTCGGGGACACAGTTTTACAATGTGACTAACCTAATGGGGGTTTTAGCCCAGTGCTTCGTTCACTGGCCCGGCTGAAGCCCACTATGACCCTGGAGGAGGGACTGCCGAGGGCTGTGCAGGAGTGGGAGCGCACCAGCAACTTTGACAGGATGATTTTTTATGAGATGGCAGAGAAGTAAGTCTGATGAACCTCATTCTTCCTGGGGATGGGGATGGGGGCTGTATGGTAGAGTGGTAGGGGCAACAAAGAGGCTTGCATCTGTGTGTGTGTGTGTGTGTGTGTGTGTGTGTGAATGAATATTAAAAGGGGTACCAAGAGGGCCACTAAGATGGCTTAGCAGGTAAAACTGCATGCCATCAAGCCTGACATCTGTGTCATGCAATGCCCAAGGGGTCAGAAGAGGGCATCGGATCCCCTGGAACTAGAGTTACTGACAGTTGTTAGCCTTGTGGGTGCCGGGAATCGAACCCAGGTCCTCTGCAAGATAGCCAGTGCTCTTAACCACTGAGCCGTCTCTCCAGCTCCATTATGTTTACTTTAAAATCAGAAAAGAAAAATAAAACAAAAGGCAAAAAAACCAAGAATCCTACTCGCCATCCTAGGGAGGGATTGGTTCTGGAGGAAGTATGTCAAGGGAGGCCAGGGTGCTGGATTCCCATTGTGGTTTCCTGGCTCTTTAGCCTCCATTTCTACAGGACAGCCTTGGCTAAAACCAAAAAACTTTGGCTGTCCATGATGGTGTGTGTAGTCAGTGCACACAAACCTGAGGTGAAAGAATTTGAGCCCAGGAGTTCAAGGCCAGCTTGGACAACATAGTGAGACTTTGTATAACAACACCCACCCCTGCAAAAACTGGGGTAAAAACCATTTCCTTCAAGCTTCTTCTTAAGTCTAAATCCTTTGCTTCCTAGATTTTCCTCATTGGGCCTGTTCCAGCCTTTGATCTTTTTGGTGGGCCCTGCCTCCTGGTGGGCTCTGATTCAGGAATTCTACCATCTGTTATTCTCAGTTGTAGAAAGGGACAGATGAGCCCTTAAAGAATCCCCCCCTCCCCCCTGGCCATAGGGCACTCCAGATGGTTACATAGGCCAGGTTGAATTTACTAAGCTTGTATCCACGGCACTAGATGAGATAGGTATGGAGCAGAAATAGAGGATATAACTTTGTCCTGAAGAAGTATCCAAGCTCTAGATCACTAATTTCCTTAATCAACTTCCCAAGTGACCACTAAGGGTGAAGGGACAACATAATGAAGTTTCCCAGGCTGTTACTAGGCTGCCCATGCACAGCTTCCCTGGGGTGACCTGACTTTGGCAAAATGAGGGTGCTTGATTTCTTGGTCATGTGTGAATGCTGCCCAATGTCTAGGTTTCTGGTGGACTGGGTCTCTTCAGCATGGCCTGTGCTTTCTCTACCCTCTGCAGGTTCATGCAGTTTGAAGCTGAGGAGGAGATGCAGTTACAGAATGCACAGCTGATGAATGGATCCCCAGGCCTGTCACCTGTACCCCCTTTGAAACCTGACCCTCCAGGGTCCCTGGTGCCTGAGGCTTGCCAGCAGCCAGGTAAGTCTGCACAGTTCTTTTTTTTTTTTTTTTAATAATTTATTGAGAATTTCATGCATGCATATAAGGTGTTTTGATCAAATCCATGCCCACTCCCTCCCCTCCAACTCCTCCCATATCTCCCCCCATCACTTTTTTCTGATAACTTCATGTACTCTTTCTTCTTTTTTTTAAAAATGGGACTTTTTGCTACTCTAACATTTCCCTCTCTGAAGAGGTAACCCTAAAATCTTTTAAGGATTAGATAAAAGCTCCTAAATACTTTCGACATTTTTGGCCTTTGGAACGGAGTATGTTGCTAAGAGGCCCAAGGACATTGTGACTTTTGGCCAAGGAACTGGCTACTTTTCTTTGAAGTCTTTTTACCCTAGCTGCCTAGCCAATTCCTACCTCCTATTCTTATCACACCATCCTCTGAAGAGGTTACCCAACTTGCAGATAGGGAATCAGGATGCAGACTGCTCTGGCTTCTTCCATGCCGAACAGGGACGAAGAAGGGTGAGGCAATTGGGGTACCCCTTCAGTGGGTCTATCTAAAAGACTCCCAAATTGCATAACTCTTGTCTCTAAGGGGAGAAGAAAGTCCTTGAATAGGAGATGGGAAGAAGTAAAGGCAAGAGTAATTAGCATTATAAGTTCTAGACAGGGAACTAAAAAACGTCAGAACAGGGCAATTTTCAAATGTTCATATGAGCGTCCATTGGAATTTCTTGACAAGGGCTTCCAAAAGCATCTCTCTCTTGGGTACCAACTCATTTTTCTTTTGTTTGCCAAGGCTGGACTTGAGAATGATGGATTCAGGATTTGCTTTCAGGCATTTCGATAGCTGTTGGAGTGGTTAGAATCAGTGTCAGTTCCCTCTCAAAGGCTTCTAGAGAGGGGGAGAAAACAAATTTAGCCATCATTTGAGAATAGCGGGTTGTCTCCCTTGGCTACAGGTGGGCACTACAGTATTGCAGACCAAGATTTGAAGTCTTACATCTGAATAGCACTTTCTGATTGGGAACAAAATCATCAATGAGAAATAATTGTCTAAATAACTTTTTAAATAGACTTAAGCCTAATGTCTGGGAAGTGTAATCCCTTGAACTCTTAAATATACTGATGACGATACTCTGGTTAAATATACTGATGATGTTACTCTTTGGTTATACATACAGTTGGCTCAAATAAATCAATTTATTTTTACATTGAAGGTCGTTTGAAGACCTGTTCCTCAGGGGTCACATGGGCTTAGGATAAGCCCTTGGCTCCTTTCTTTTACCAGTTCCACCTATGTGAAGATAAGTCAAAGGTCCTGCTCGACCATGTCTGGCTTTACTTGGAAGCATGAATGAGATGTTTCCTCTGAGTTGACCCTCCTCTTTGTAGACTGGACACTGGTTCAAGTCTATCTCGTGAGGTCTCCATGGCCTCCCTGAACAAGAGGACAGGTGACTCACCAGTTACAGGACTTTTTGAGAGATGTTCCATAGTCCCCTGGAACTTAGTTGACCTTGGAGGGCAAGGGGCAAAGACTGTCCTTTAAGTCCCGCTGACCAGATAAGTATAGGCCTCAAAGTATAGTTGTTAAACATCTAATAAGGTTAGTTCCACCAGTCTGGTACTTTTAATTACCATGTGCTTGCTATGTAGATAAAGCTTGGGTAAAAATCCAGATGTAGGGATGCAGACACAGACAGACATGGATTAGGAAAGGCATTGTCTTTGCTTCTGTTCTTCCTTCCAGGAAGTGACATTTTATATACCAAACAGAATGCTCCATTGGGTTGGGTTCTTAGGTTCCTTTTGTCCCAAATCAGGTATTGATCTTGGCCATGTAAACTACTCTTTCATCTAGATTGTACACAAGGCCTTTATCTGCCTAAGTAATGAAGGTTGTTGGATTGGGGGGGGGCAGTTCCTGGAATTTCAAGGTGTGTGGAAAGAACTTCTAACACAGTGAGTGGTTCTGTTATACTCCCTAGCTTTTAGATTTTCTCCCATGGGTGCCTTTTTTTTTTTTTTTTTTTCAGAATGATTTGATCTAGCCTGGAACCATTCCATGTACTCAAATTGCCCTTCCAAGTAGAACTGGGAAGTAGATAGATACCAAGGCTTCTGTCTCCCTTCCCATCTCTTTCCTCAGTGTATATTCCAAAGAAGGCAGCCTCCAAGACACGGGCTCCCCGCCAGCGGCAACGCAAACCTCAAAGGCCTCCAGTTCCTGAGGCACCCAAGGAGATCCCACCAGAAGCTGTGCAGGAGTATATTGACATCATGGAAGGGCTGATGGGGAGTCACCTGGACACTGGAAAGTCAGAGGAAGAAGAGGAGCAGCAGGAGAATGAAGAAATGTATCCAGACCCAAGTCTTCTGAGCTACATCGATGAGCTATGTTCTCAGGAGGTATTTGTCTCCAAGGTGAGCTCTGTCTACATGACTGATTGCTGATCTTGGGGGGTTGGGTATTCTATGGCATCAGACATCTGTGGTTTTATGTAAGGAAGTAGACTCCATTCTATAATTGGGAAATAGGTATGTGTATATGTACACATAGGTAGCTGGTGGTAGTCATAGTTTACTCCAGGGTAGAATGGGGGGGGGGTGGCATTAGCTTAGTCCCTAGAGCCCCTGTGCTTATGGGTTACCTCCTGTCATTGACTCACATCACTCTTCTTTCTGTTCCCCAGGTGGAGGCGGTCATTCACCCTCAATTTCTGGCAGACCTGCTGTCCCCAGAAGAGCAGAGAGATCCTTTGGCTTTAATTGAGGAGCTAGAGCAAGAGGAAGCACTCACTCTTGCCCAGGTAAACTTGGGAGGTAGGGAATATCAGAAAAAATGTTGCCTTTTGTTTAACCCTTTATGTCTTGATACGGCTCTATTTGGGATTGGACTTTGGGTGTAGAACAAATAGATTATATGAACAAAGTAAATGAGAGAGGAAGCACAGGAATAAGGCCCAAGAAACAGGAAGAGCTATAGTATTTATCTTTGCTATCATCACTTAAGCCACATGCTTTTCCTCCCCACCCCGTCCATCTACCATGTCCTGTCACCCACCTCTTCTAACCATGTACAGATCTGGAATTTATCCATTCTCTTCCAGCTGGTCCAGAAGCGACTCTTGGCCTTGGAGGAGGACGATGCACAGGCACCTCCAAGTTGCAGTGGAACTCAGTCAGACTCAAGTCCTTCTGCTGCCAATGAAGATGAAGATGGGGGTCGGAGGCCTCGGCCTTTACTGGGGCCTCAGGGGGCTGAGAATAGTGTTTGCACTGGAAAGTCTGTTTCTTCAGGCAAGCAGGCAAGCGAGATGCACAATGGGCAGGAACTAGCCCTAGGTGGTCCAAGGGGGATACACAAGGATGGAAACACTCTGCCATCCTCTAGCTGGGACCTGCAGCTAGAACTCACAACTTCACAGGGAATGGAAGCACCCTTGAGTATGGAAAGAGGGCCTGGGGAGTTTATAAAACAGCTATCTGCACATCATGATGGCCACCTGGGAGGTGCTGGGTCCCCTGGAAACTACCCAGTAGCAGACAGGACTTCAGAGGCTTTACCATTTTGTTGGCAAGAAAGCCCTCATCCCATGACAGACCCCAGTTTAGATGTTGGATTTATAGAACCAGCTCCTTTGCAAGGACACGGGTTAGAAAACCAGGCTTTGGGGTTGCAGATAGGACAACCAATAGAGAAAGTTGGAATGTTTACACAAGGGAGAGAACCGTCAGCAGTGTCCCAGGAAGGCTCTTCAATATCTATGTGGGGAGATGACAGAGGTCCCCCCATGGTTCAGAGTTATGATCAGAACCTTTCTTCTGGAGCAGCCTGCAACCTAGACAGCATTCCTCTCAGTCCAAGACTTTGGCTGAGCGGTGGGATAGAAGCCATAGGCACAGAGTTGCCCTTACAAATCGAAACGGTCATAGAGAACATCCAAGATGAGGAATACATAAAGGAGCACCAGGCATTGAGCTCCAGAAACAGTGTTTCTCTAGGTCCTAGAAAAACCTCAGTATCTGAGAATGTGGGGAACGGTGTGGTTCCTTGCAGAGGCACAGATGCCCTAGAAAAGACAGGATCTCTTATGGGCAATAGTCCAGCTTCGAGGTCCAGCGAAAGTATAGAACAGAGTTCTGAGACTATACAGGATCCCAGTGATCTGTGGGCTAATGCTTGCTCTCCTGTGCTGGAAGAAATTGGTACCTCCACACTGGGTTCTTCCAATGACACCATGTTGCCTACAAGCCAAGGTGATCTCTTTATCCTTGAGACCAAGGACACCTCCTCTTTTTGCCAGGCAAGCCAAGAGGCAGAGAGCAGAGGCAATCCACTTTTTCCTCTGTTGGAAACCACAGAAGATGTCAACATACTAGATGTTAGAAATGACAGTGGCCCCCAAACAGGAGTCCACAAGGATTCCTGCCCATCAAATTTTAATTCTTTTGATTTCCAAGGAGAGGGCAGGGAAGACACTATTTCATCCAAATCTAATGACCTTGTTTCTTTACAAAGCAATCAAGAATCTTACACACTTGAGAGCCCCAAATCAACATCTTGTCAGGGCCTCGGAAGTACTTCCCCTACCTGGGAAATCAGGGATGCTTCAGTTCTGAGAGAAATCTCTACTAGAGAAACACGGAAGTCAGTAGACAGGGCCAAAAGAAGTAAGGAAGAGAAAGAAAAAGATGAACTGTCCGACTTCTCCTACCTTTTGGCCTCAAAACTTTGCTTATCTTCATGGGGGCTTCCCCTCAGTTCTTGTCATGCCTCTGAAGCTCAGGGAATTCAGCAAACATCCCACCCCTCTGCTGAACCAGGTGACCTTGGCCAACCTCCACCCCTTGCCAAGTCGGAGAAACAAATTCTAGTTGGGGGTCCGGCCTCTGCTGTAGAAACTCAGCCAGCTCAGCTTAAAGGTTTTGGGCAGAAAACCCTTACTCTAGGAGTAGTACAACATCCACAGCCTTGTAAAAGGCGACGTGACAATTCTGTCACAAGCAAAAGGAAGAAACGACACCAGAACCAGTAGGAAGCAGAGGGCCATCCTGCCCCACCTAGTGGTCCCCAAAGATGGGTGCCCTAGAGATTTCACTGCTGTCGTTCCCCAGTGGAGAATAGCTCAGCCCAATGTTTTTGTTGTGCAAGAGCCTGGAGAGCTTGGGGCAGATCAGACTAGCTAGGATGCAGGAGGTCCCCTTAGCAGGAAATAAAGGGAAATGTGTTTTGGAAGTTATATGGAAAAATAAAGATTGGTTTTGGTTAGAAAATGCTGTCCATGTGCCCTTCTGTGGGAGCATCTTGGCTGCTATGTAGAGCAAGATATTTAAGAAAAGGGAGGGGGTAGTTCCTTCTGTGGATCCATTTACCCTGCTGCTGGCCTGATCTTGGTTGCCTCAGGCCTTGTGGTAACACTTGCTTTCTTGCCATAACAGTTTCCAAAACACAAGTCCCAAATGGTTATTCATCCCCTGCCCCCTTTCCAAGTCTGAACTTGGCATTGGGAGGGCTCATCTGGATTTTCTATTATTGTCTCCCTCCTTTACGTCTACACATGGGAAAAGATGCTTCTCTGTCAGATCTCAGATTTGATTTCCTAAATCTAGTATTTGTATCAAGACAGCACCTTTAGTGGGCTTTGTGTTCTTCCCTTAAGCTGAACAGGAAGGACTTAGAAGTCCTCAGCTCATGCGACAGCGTGTGCTTGGTCTGACCTGGAGACCATTTCCTTACTGACATAGGTCTCTGCCCCTCCTCTGGGTGATGGAACGAATTCTCAGTGGGACTGTTAAATATGGAATGGTAGTAAACTATTTTTTCATCTTTAATGAGGACAATACAAGAGGGAATGAGCCGAAAAGAGGTTTACAAGCAAGTCTATTAAGATGTGCATATTTCGGAGGTAGCAAGAGAACATGTTAAATCTTTGTATAATTTCCACATAGGAAAGATTCCCTGTCCATTTTGGGGAGCAAGAGAATTCAGTTCCGGCCAAGATGACAGACCTTTGTAGTTTTCTGGCAGTTCCAATGGGCATCTGGCAACCATCTTTTTTCCTTCCCAACTAATGATACCATCCACAGGACTGAGCTTCATTTTTTTAAATAGATATATATTTATATTTATATATAAAATAGTCTTTTACAAAAAAACCCCACCTAACAAAAAATTAAACTTAAAAAACAATGATAACAAAAAAAAAATCAAACAGGTGCAGATCGGTTGAGGCATAGGGTAGTCTCTGATGCTGTCCTGAGAGCAGGGCTGGGTTTGAGCTGAGTAAGGATGGGAAGCTGAGGTGCTCAGTCACCCTTCTGCTTGGGAGCTTGCACAGTCCCATTGGCCAGGGCGGTGGGGCTGCCTGGGGATGAGGCATTTGGTATCTGAGAGGTGCTTCGAGGCTTGAGTGGGGGACGCAGGTAGGTGCTGAAGAGCTTTCCATAGAGTGGGTCGTGGAGGGAAAAGTTCTGGAATTGACCTGGACAAGGAGAGTGAGAAAGGGAGAAGTGAAAGAACGTAAGAAGAGGATGCGCCTCCATCGTCCCCTCAAACTGATAATCCAGCTCCTCCGGTCTGTTTGCCATCTCAAATACACCACTGTGCCTCCTTTTCCTTGCTTGCCTGTTGCCCTAGCTTCACCTCTTGGACCCTGATTTCTGACACTGGCCATTAACACTTTGCTCTCCCAGCTCTGTTCTCAGGACATATCCTAGTGCTGATGGTGCCCAAGTGCCTGTATAGCACTGAGAAAGCAGTGACTCACTGAGGGAGAGGCCTTGGCTGCATCCAGGCTGGCACAGCTCGGCATGTAAAGTCATGGCAGCAGGGCAGGGTGAACCCAGCAACAGGTGCAGGATGGTGCTGAAGCCATCTTTGTATAACAGGCGGCCAGGTCCTTCTGCCTGCTCTTCAGCAAAGAGCTTGGAAGAGAAAGGGATGCATGTCAGGTTCTCTCTTCCAAGTACTGCCTGCCACGCCTTCCTAATGGGCTCTTCTTCCCAAAGCGCTGCACACAAGCCTTCCTGGACTTTCAGTGCCCATTCTTTCAGGATAACTGAAATCTTCAGTTTCTGCCTTCTAGTTCCCAGCTAGATTTCAACAAGGAGACACTGGGGATCTGCACTTTTAGTTAGTGTGGCACCAGGAGAACATCAAGCATGATTACCTAGGAGCTATTGAGAACAGAACACTATACAAGCCCTCCTGGTATGGAACTGTGGGATAAGGCACAGTCACTAAGTGTCCCACAGCCCCTCAAAGGTACCTCAAATGCCAGGCGAATCAACTCCTCCAGGCTCCTGCCCCCATCCAGAGCTGCTAATGCAAGAGCCACATTTCGGAAGTCCACCAAACCCTTACCATCCTGGAGAATGAAAAACCAGAGCACTGTGGGGAACGACTTTGACTTTTCCTCCTGCCCTCTGGACTTTAGCCTTTCTTAAATAGGCCTGGGAATGATGCTTGTGATCACTCTACTCAGAATCGAGTACCAAACACCCTGGGATCCCTGGGAGTTGAGACCATTCATATCTATACCAAACTATACAAGCTGGTGACAAAGCCCTCCTACAGAGATCTAGGAATGTTAGGGAATCCCCTAGGAATTCTCAAGTTACCATTAATTCTGATAAACTACAGAAGAACATTCCTGGTTTCCAAGCCAGACAAACTGGTTTTCTCCTCTGACTCAGCCTATGTGGGAGAACTGGTCCAACAGATTGAAAGGGGGCCATTGGCCTAATTTCTTACCAAAAACCCAAGCAGAATACCTGCTGTGCTAGCTCCATGGGGGAAATGTTGGCTGACTTAGGTGCAGTCTGCTTCAGTCTAAGAAATCTACAGAGCTAGATACTAAAAAATTTTTAATTAAAAAAAAAAAAAAAAATCTTGAACCAGGGTCTAATTGTATAGTCTAGGGTGGCTTTGAACTCATGATCCTTTTGCCTTTGTCTCCTGAGTACTTGAGAGGATGTTGAGAGCCACAGTCTGCAGCTTAGAACAAAAAAAGCCCTTCGAAGGACTGAGGGACTTGGGTAGTGACTAAGTGATAGAACATTTGCCGAGCATCAAGGTTCTGCGTATCCCTAGTTCTTACAAAAAAATTCTAGAATTGTAATTTGACAGCAATACCTGGAGCCTGGTTATATTTCTGAAAATACACTTGCCAACATTCTTGAGTTAGTTTTAAGAATTCCCCTAGAAAAGCTATAGGATATTAAAAACCACACACACACACACACACACACACACACACACACTTGGGAGGCAGAGGCATCTCTGTGAGTTCAAGGCCAGCCTGGTCTACATAGTGAGTTCCAGGACAGCTGGGGCTACACAGAGCCCCTGTCTCAAAAAGACCAAAACAAACGAACAACCCAGAAAACCCTGCTCAAGTACTGCAAAACTTCCAGGTCTCCAATTCTCCACAAACCTAACCAGTAGTTTCTTCTCCCCTCATCCTCCCACCTAACCTCCATGACTCTTCTGTGAAAATCCTCACCTAGTATCCCACATGGTCGTGATTCCCCATGTTAGCCCATCTCTAATGTGGCTCTAGGTTAAGAACTTCCCTGATTGATTCTGTCTCTGGTTCCTCCTTCTATGACCTAAACATTGCTCCTCTATGCACTGGATACTCTGCAAAAAATGAACCTTCTAGTACATCTTGCAGGATGGCCACCTGTAAGAGCTATTAAGACTAAGCAGTAGACTTGCAACTGAGCAGCTAGTGAGACTGACATGGTCACTAGGATGCCTCATGTTGACTTAGAGGGCTAGCCTGCCACTCTAATGAAGATAATACTCCATTACCTGCTGGAAGTAGCTGAAGGCCCCAGCCACTGTCTGAGGATCTGAGAGTTGTAGCTGCCTGGCAAACTCTTCCTGGCTGATCATTCGACTCCGACCTGGCTCTGCCCCAGTGTCCACGCAGCCAGGGGACAGCCTACAATGGAATTATTGACAACAGAGTTGACTCAGTTTCCTTCTGGACACATATGTAGGACCTTGCCACCAGGACTAACTAAGCATTCTCCCAGGACAAGCTCAGGTCCTGTTTTTCTATTCCCTTATGGTGATGGAGATCAAATCTAACACCTCGAGTATATGAGGCAAACACTCTAAGACTCCACCAAACCTTTAGCTTACTGCTTTTCTAAGTTGCAGCCACTCAGTCTCTCGAGTTACTGTGCATCCTTCCAGTTCTCTCTCTCTGCCTCTACTCTCGCCATTTTTTAAGCTCTTAGTCTATCTAATAGTGTTTTTTGACATAGGGTACAGGGTGTCATTATGTAGCCCAGGCTAGCCTCAAACTTTTGATCCTTTTGCCTCAGCCTCCTGAGTACTAAGATCACAGGTAGGGGATACCATACCCAGCTCTTTTTTTGGGTGGGGGGAAAGACTAAGACATTCCTTCTTTCTCCCCATTTTTCCTCTTTTTATTTTTCTATTTATGACACCGCTTATATCCTCATCTTCAAGGTGACTTACCCTGCCTTCCGAAGCACCTTGCCCAGTTCCCAGAGTTGTGGCTCCAATGCTACCTTCAGCTGGCCCACCACAATCACAGGCAAGCTCCCTACAAACTCACATTCAGTGGCTGGAATGCCCAGGGCCCTAAAGGATGAAGGACAGACAAGGGGAAGGAAGCAAAAGAAATTTTTGAGAGTTCATTACACTCTGGCCTGCCGAACCTGAGGGGTCAGAGTCCTTTATCTTTTCCCTCCACAGTCTCAGCTGCCCCACAGTCCTGTCCTTCTCACTAGTTCTTATCAGCCCCCCACACCCCCGGATTCCTTTGCTCTGCATATCTACTCCAGGAAATACTTTGTGGAAGACCAGGAAATACTTCTTGTAATACTCACTGAGCCATTACTCTCTGGACACTATTGGCATAGAGGGTGGGGTCCTTGCTCTCCTCCGGGCTGGGCTGATACACAGGGAGGAACTGAAACACACACACACACACACGCACACACACACACACACACACCTCTCATCAGGATCTCAAGTGAAGCACAGTTACTCCTACTCTGCCCGTTCTCCCATCCCAGGGGCAATCATACCTCTACTTCCACGATGCTGCAGGGCTGGGAGGCTGTGAGCCAGAGAACTTTGAGTCTAAGAGAGAGAGGGATGTTTATCACTCTTGAACTATGGGCTATTCCTCCTGAGGAGGGCAGTGGGAAGTTCTGCCCAATGATACAAAAGTAGGACCCACACAGTCAGCTGGCCACACAGTTAGCTGAGAAATTGGGAGAAGGGCCAGAAAGGCGATGGGGCGAGAGGACAGCTACAGGAATACACCAGAGAAGAGTGTAGGCAAGGGGAAGTGTGGGCAACAGGGAAAAAGCAAGAGGAATGCCTAGTGGTTGTGGTTCTTCAGAAAGGACAAAAGAGGGAGAAAAATCACACCCCAAACACAGGACAGTAGAAGGAGCCTATCACTGCAGGGGTGATTCAGGTGGGAGGGCTGAAGCACTGCCAGATCATCTGGACACGCAGAGGGCAGTGGGCAAACTCTACGGTTCTCTTGATCCGACATGAGGAAGGGTCATTCACCTCTTTCAGAGATTGGAAGATAAGCCAGGAATGCTGTGATGAACCCAAATCCCCACCCTTACATCCAGAACACTAGAACTCACACGCCAGGGCCCCTCCATGCCCAGCTGGTGGTATCCTATGGAGGAAGCAGAGGTGGGGGGCAGAACATTACTTTTCTTTCTTGAAACTGACCAATCTCTTTGAGCAGAGACCCTGGCTCCACCTTGTGCCTCACCCCCAGATATATATCTCAACATGCCACCAACAGCTCACTTATCTCTAGTTTGCATAGATTCATGCCCCATCCCCCCTTCAACTGAGACTTACCAGACTGTTGGGGTAGCGGATGAGGACAGGCTGTACAGGTACCCCAGAGATGAAGGCTCCTAAATCCCATTTCCACCCCCACCCCCCAAGTCAGAGGTTAGTATATAGAGATTACTAGATGATATGAGGGTCTGGGATAAATCTCAAATGACATGTGGCTTTGTTCTACTCATAATTTTCTCTCTGACTCAACTTGTCAGATAAGAGGAAGTTCCCTGTCTCCCTTTCTCTTACCCACCCCTGTACTTTATGGGTTACTCTTCAAAGCTGGAGCTCCTTTTTCCCATAGCCTTATCACCCACTATCATTTTACTCACCTGGTTTGAACTTAAGTAAAGCCTTCTTGTTGGAACAGGTGCCTTCAGGAAAAAATAGTACCTAGGTGGAGAAAAAAAAACAAAACCAAGCACAGAAGGAGATGGTGAGTAAAGGGAAGCCATTTAGCACACAAGGTGAGGAGAGGGTCACAAGACCCTTACCCACCTGAGGCCACTTGCCTCCCGAGGTAGCTCGCCTTCGGACCTCCTCCACTACTCGGCGACGAGAAGCTGGGTCATGCCGGGACACCAGGATGGCTTGATTGAATCTAAGAAGGGCTGGGTTGGGAAGGTTACAAGGAGTCACTTGATTCTGACCCTGAGGCACTGATATCTGGCAGCCTCTATTTCCTCAACAGTATGAGATATTTCAACAACCCATTTATTGCACACAATCTATTAAGTTATCTCTCTAGCACCTCCTCTCTGGTCTCAGTCTTGAGAGTCTGAGATCAACTGACAAAGGGTGTTAATTTGCATTTCATTTGCCAACGGTCAATTCCCCAACTTCTCCCTTTACACTAGATACCAGTCCTCTCTGGTGTTTCCATTTCTGACTTTCTTGGCCCAGAGCTGTCATCCTTCCCCTTCCCCTTCCCCTTCTCTCACCTCCAATGACAGGCACCGAAAGGTTCTCAGCTCGGGACACAACCTTGGGCAGGTCACAGGGTAGCAGAACAATTGGATCAAAGAAAGTGGAGTGGGGGGCAGCAACCAAGACAGGGGCTTCAAGGCAAGAGGCCCGCTGGCCTCGAACACGAATCCGGAGGAAGCCAAGCAGGAAAAAGAGTAGGCGGCTCAGGCCTAGAACCCCGTTGTGGCATATAGTCCTGCCAGGGCAAGGATGGGGGTCAGTGGAGACAGCAATTCTGACCTTTAATCAACCCTGTCTCTATCCAGACACCTCTCTATTTCCTTTAAACCCACTGGCCATGGGAAGTATTTGGGACATTCTGGGACATAAAATCACTTAGAAGTGAGGTACTGGGTACCAGGTCATGGTCTGATTGACTAAATTTATCTTACAGTCTCTGAACCATCCTCCCCTATCCAATGGGGGAGCAGAGTAGACAACAGGAAAGATACAGTCTTGGGAGCTGACTCCCACTTACTTCCTCCATCCTGTAATTGGCTCCTGAAGCTGTTCCTCAGTGAGACCTGCTACTTGGAGCCAGGCGAAGGGCCAGAGGAGAAAGAGGACGATAAAGGCTAGAAGCACTCGGATTGGGGCTAGCAGTGCCCCCAGGAGGCAGAACTGCAGAGGGTGGGAGAAAACATCCGTTAGGGCTGAGAAAAGCTCCTTCTACAGCACCATCTCCTTGTAGGAGAAGACCCAGGGTCAGATAGCCATCAATCAGGTGATATAGGTGGTGGAGGCAGAGAGAGCCAAGTGAGATGAAGATCCTGGTGGGGCCAGGAGGATAAAAGGGTAACAGCTCTAGGAGCCTCGTGTTTTCACTCAGTTGACTCCCACCTCATTTATAAGGGTTAATGTCATCAAATGCAGTAGTACTTGGAGAGGCTGTTCAGAGGATTTAATGAGACTATGCATGTGAAGGTGCCCTGTACTGTGCTTGACGCAGAATAGACTAGACAGTTCCTCCTCTCTGACATCCCATTTCATAAATAGCTCCTATGTCAAAAAGAAACCAAGTTCAAGGATTTTTTTCCCCATACTTTGGGCCCAAGGAGCAGGTGGTGGAAACACAGAGGTCCAGTTTTCAAACCTCAGGTCAACCCCTAGGGCTGCCGAATAGCAATCCTTGGGTACCAAGGGATGCGGAGAATGAACAGCTCAGTCCTATTCCGCAAGGTAGAGGTTGCCAAGAGCCAGGGTGACTCCAGAGGCTGCCTTGGGAGTGAACAGGTAAACAAACGTAGCCCCTGCAGCCCGCCTCAGAGGAGGTGAGGACAGCACAAACCTTGGACTCTTCCTCCCCACACCACCTCCAGGCTGCCCCTGGCCAATGCGCCCCTCCACTTCCTGTAGCCAACCCCCCTCCCAGCCTCCCTGCCCCCACGAGGAGGTGCTGCAGTGAAGTGTGGGGGAGGTGGGGAGGAAAGAGATATTGGAAGGACACAGGGACGCAGTCTACTGGTCCAAAACCGTTTTTTAAAGTCAGAGAATCACCGAGTACGCCCCTGCCCCTGCCCCCGCCCGGGCTATCCTTAGCCTCTAGTTTCATCCTAGCCAACCTCCGCAGGATGTAATCCGCATTCCCCAGTGTCCTCCATCTCCTACCCTCGGGGCCCTTCAGTACTCCCCCTTCACCTAATCACTCTTCCACGCCTCCGAGCTTGTCTATCGCCCAAGCCCACGTCCACCAGGGCTCCTCGCCCATTCCCGGCCGCCCTCACGTGCGCACCCCCGGACTCCCGCTCCACCACCTTCTCAGCAGCCGCCTCTTGCATCCCCATGCCCATCTCTGCCATGGCTCCTCACCGCCGCGTGTCCCCAATCCCTAGAGTCCTCCGCACGCCCCCTGCCCAACTTACCTTAACCCTCTGGAGGCGGGAGAGGTGTAACTCATGCACGAAGGGGTTTGGGGGCGCTGAGGGCCCGGGGGTGGGATCGAGGGGGGCCCAGCCCCCGGGAGTTTCCTGGCTCATGGTGGGAGAAGGTGGAGCGAGGGCCGCGGCCCCCTGCCCCCGACCCGGGCCCCGCTCCCGGCTCAGCAGAGCAGGGCGTCTTATGCGG